TCCCACTTATCACAGTCCCAGCACTGAAGGGCCTGTAAATATACAGCCCAAATACAGAGTATATATTCAGCTCATAATCGGGCTCTGAAGAGCCAAGAGCCACCCAGAGCTTCAGACACCTATCACGAACCCCACAGGCTGCTACAGCCAGCAAGGTGGCAACTGAGTCCTTACACAATTGCAGTCAAAAAATGCAAGGTTACAGGCAGAAGCCAGCTTGCCAGGCAGACAAAGCCTTTGGAGCAAATCAGGATTTCACCTTCCCAACCAAATTATCTCATAATCTGGCAGCAGCTCTAGTTATTTCAATAACACTACTAAGATCCCTTGTTTAGAACATGTATGGTCCCACTGCCACAATAAAGATATGCCTTTTGCTTGCTTACTAGATCTGGTGCTCTGCAACTGCGACAGTCAAAGACGGGAACTTAACTGGGTACACCTTGACTGTGTTTTATATTGGTTAGTCCAGCAGTGTCAGTAAAATAAGGGAGTATAAAGACATAGACACTGGCAGAGAAGATTTAACTTGTTACCACCCCTCCGCTGGAGACAGCCACAACCAGGAATGGACTGAGCACAGGAGTGGCCAAAGAGCACTCTCTCTGTTCATTCCAGTGGCTTGAGTTCATCCCCCATGGGAGCTTAGCATACCACCAAAACTGGAGTAACTACGAGACCACGACTCTTTGTTGCTCCTCCTGGCCAGAGAACAGATGTATGAGGGACAAGCAAGTCCTTAGAGCCTCCTGACGGAACTGAACCAGGAGACAATTTCTGACCTGAAACAGGGAAAGTTCCCATGCTGCTTTGCAGTGATTCACACAGAGACAGCTTCTCCCCCATCGGTAAGAGCTCACGATCTTTCCACCGCAGACTCACCTGACATCCTCAGCTGCAGCCACCCAGCCAGCACACTCAACGCTGCTCCCTCGGTGACTGCTCCACACGGACAACCTTCCATGTGCATAGGGTTGCAACACTTGAGTATGAAACACATCGAGCGATCACTGAACACAAGCATAGCTCTCTGCATCATAAGGCCTACATTTGCTCACCACTATTACAGCAACTATTACTCATGGTCACCAAGATCTCAATGTACTACCTGAAGGCTGACTGGTTCTGGACACAAAGTTTCCATAAGGCCTTTAACTCCAGTGCAGGGAACGAGGGGGTTCCCTTTAAAAAATTAATGCGGCAAATTTCCCAGGAGCCTCCTGACACTCGGGAAGAGCTCTAATGACAATCTGTCTGTAAGGCAAAAAGCATAGGGAAGGCTGGCATTCTCATTCTTCCACCAGCCCTGTTCCCTCTCACAGCTCCCTATCAGCCTGGCTGACTTCAATGACAGTAATTGCAACGCACATGTCTGAAGAGTGACACCAGTAATGCAACAAATAAGTCTGATCTCTAAGTGATGTCTGTGACCATAAGCAAACAAATCACTCCAGCTGCCTGGCTCAGAGGTGCTTAGTACCAAGCAGGAGACAAGAACTGGGATCAGGTCCAGAGCTTTTCTGAGCTTCTTTTTCAACTTCCTTGGGATGTCCCTCCTGAAAGATGAGACAAGCACAACAGGTTGCATTTTCATGCAGAAGGGAGCACATTCCTGCAAATTATTTCAGCTCACATGCCTCTCAGATAACTTCCCTTGTGACAGCCGTTGGCAGTCACGAATGAGATGACCTTCTTCCCAATAACCTCTCGTAACAAGCTTTGAGATCCTTGTATGAAAAGGACTTTGGAACAGTAGCACATGGTGACAATCACAGGGGAAACTTTCCTGTGGGAGTTACAGATCTGTTTGCATGGATTTATCAAAAAAGCTTTGACTAAATTTTTTTATGAGGCCGCAAAGGCCCTGCAGTGCACAGGCAGCTCTGCACATATTGCTTCACTAGCGTTTATTAGCCAACAGAAAGCTACAGAAAGCAGACAGTATTTAATGCTCACTGCAACATTTATAAGACTTCTATTACCAAACAAGGAAGCAAGATGGTCTGTGCAACAACCAAATAAGTGTGATTAAGGCATCGTAGGGTTTATGGTCCTCAATTAGATTAAACTGATTTTTTAAAGGTTGTGCTGTTCCACATTTCTCTTCTTGGTTTC